CCAACACTTTTTTGTGTGTAATCTTTGCCAAGTTTTGCTAGTCTCTTCTAAAATTTTTGAAACTGTTCCTTTCTTTCCTATTCTCTATGCCAATTTAAATAACACTATTTACCCTCTTCATAAAGGCATGGTTGGAGTGATGTGTGGGTTTCAATATCATCCACATCTGATAGATGAAGGTGGGAAATAAGCTGCTCTTTAGTGATTTTTTTCTTCCATGATAATTGTTCTGCTTCTATTTCTCTCTTCTATGGTCAGCTTGGGTTGGCTCAGTAATTATAACTTCTCTAGAAAAGCGATCCAATTAATTCAGTTTCTCACATTTGTTTCATCATCATTACACAAAGCTTATGACTCTTTAAATGTTTTCTGCTATGCTCATTTCCAAATAAAATTTCTTACGGCTTACTTTTATATCATTGTTTTCTAAAATAAAACAGCTCAATTTCTCTAATTATACCTATCACCTTACTGAACATATTACTTAACTTTTCAGTGCCTGACTTTAGCAATGACAGTTGCTATTTCATAAGGATATTGTGAGAACTAAATGAGTTCATGTAAGTAACAAGCTCAGAATACATCATAGTACAATGCATTCTATTGTATTAATTCCTGCTCTGATCTTTTAAGTAAGTTCCAATTTCTCCTATAACAAACTTAGTGGCATAAAACAATACATATTTATTTCTTTACAATTATGGAGGCCAAAAGTCTGAAGTAAGTCTCATGAGGCTAACATCGTGGTACTGGCAGTTTGGTCCCATGAGGAGAGGGAGACTGTTTCTTACCTTTCACAGCTTCTAGAGGTCATTTGTATTCCTTAGTTCATGGCCTCTTGCACACATCACTCCAACCTCTTGCTTCAATCATCACATCTTTCACTCACTCTGAATCTACTGCTTTTCTTTTGTGAGGACCTCCGTGATTACCTTGGAAACACCCAAGGTATCCAGGATAATCTCCCCATGTTGATATCCTTAACTTAATCACATCTGCAAAGACCCTGATGTCATGTGTGGTAATCTGATCTGGGTCCCAAAGACACATCCATGTCCTAATCCCTAGAGTTTTTGAATATTAGCTTATTTGGAAAAAGGATCTTCACAGGTATGATTAAGGGTCTTGAGATAAGAAAATAATTCCAATTACCTAGGTTATCCTAAATGCCATCACAAGCATCCTTATAAGGGACAGAGCGAGGGAGATTAGACCTTCAGGAGAGGAAAAATCAAAAGATGGAGACAGTGACTGAAGTGAAGCAGACATAAACACAGGAATGCTAGAACCGCCGAAGCAGCAAGAAAAGGTGAGGAACCAGTTCTCCTCTACACCCTGTGGAGTTAGCATGGCTCTGCCAACACTTGACATCACACTCTGACCTCCAAATCTGTGAAAGAATAAATTTCTGTTGTTTTAGCTACCAAGTTTGTGGTCACTGGTCACAGCAGTCACAGGAGACTAATACACCATTCAAAGTAATACATGCAGGGCCTCCCCAGTGGTGCCAGCGGGTTAAGCGCAGTGCTGGGAAGCTGTCCGCAGCCTCTGCAGCATGGGTTCGATTACCGGCCGGTCTGGGAGATTCCCACATGGCGTGGCAGACCTCTCCTGTCGTGCCCGCTGCTCCTCTCAGCAGTGTATTTTGGGTCGTCTGCCTATTCTGTTCCCCGCTCTGTCTCTGGTGAAATCCTCTCACCCTCCCAACCTCTGGCCTGTACCCCAGCTCTTGTATAAAAATAAATAAATCTTTTTTAGAAAAAAAGTAATATATTCAGTTTCTGGGATTTGGACATGAACATACCAGAAAAGCCATTATTCTACAGTCTTTATTTCCTCTTTTGCTCTCTTTGGATATATTTTGCAATTTTCTCTTCTCGAGTGAGATGGATAATTCATTTATTCTAGTGCTTTTGTGTATATTAATATGTATATTTAAGACAAATCTTCCTATTTGTCTAGGAAGATTTTAGCCAGATCCCGCAGGTTCTAATAGATTTTGTTTTCATTGTTATTTTTGTCCTTGATATGTTATTTCTTCTTTGATACAAAAATAATTTTTAAAACATTAATTCCAAAGTGATAGTGTTGGATGATTTCTATCCTTAATGCCATATTGGAAAATATGGCTTCTACCTCAACTATTTCTATTTTGAGGGATTTCTTGAGTGTTTTTAATGGCCAACATATGATCAGTTTTTGTAATGTTCCAAAAGAACTTGAAAGAAGGTGTGTTCTATTTTGAGAGGATAAAGTTCAATGTGTTTTAATTAAATTTACCTTATGTTAACAGAATTTTTCTAAGTCCTTATTTTCATCCACTGCTATCTTTAATTGCTATTTTTCTTTATTTCCCATTGATTTTACTTTATATTTATTAATGCTGTTAAGTGAAGTAGAATCAGTATGTACCCTTTATCAACTTAAACCTTCATTGTGTCTTTTAAACCTTTCACAGAATTCAACCCTATTCTGCTATCAAAACCTATATTCCTCCTCTTTTCTTAGCTATTTTCTTCAAGTAACCCAGAAACTTTCTTCTATGCTCTGAACATAAAGCTGTCATGAAAAAGTAACAATGACTACCTATAAGGTTAATGAAGACATGAATAAAAGATAGGTCAAGCTTAGAACCACATCATACCACAGGCTATTATGCCTTGCCAAAATCTAATGTTGCATAAGAGGTAAGAAAATGTTAAATCGTGGGCACCATTAACTTTTTAAAGTTCAGTATAAGAGACATCTCCCTTCTACAAACATTTTCTAAAGCTATTTTCTTTTATAACCATGGACACATATGCTTAGCAATTTATATATCATGAATCACATAATAATTGCTCCTGAAATGCTTTCTAAATTCACTAGAAATATAAACTTAAAAAGGAAAAAATTTCGACACTACCTACTCTCTATTTCTAATTATCAGAATAACTTTATTTAAGAAATGACTAAGAAAACAAGTACTGTGACTTTCTAAATAAATACTCCAGTCAAAGAAATGGGCATATACTTAATCCCTGAGGTTGGCTTTTGCCAAGTATTTAAAAATTCTTGCGGGGGGGGGGGAGAGGGGGGTACAGGGGGGGGAGTGGGGGGAGGGCCCTCCCTGGTGGCGCAGGCGGTTGACCACAGCACTGTGAAGCTGTCCGCAGCCTCTACAGTGCCGGTTCGATCCCCATCAGCTGTGGAGCAACCCACATGGTGAGGCAGACCTCTCCTCTCTCACCTGCTGCTCCTCTCAGCAACGTATTTCGGTCATTCTGCCTGTTCTGTTGCCCGCTCTGTCTCTGGTGAATCCTCTCATCCTCCCACACTTCTGGCCTGTACCCTGGTTCTTGTATAAATAAATAAAATCTTAAAAAAAAAAAATAAAAATAAAAACTCTAGCCTGGGAGTCAAATGTGTTTTCAAATCCCAGTCCTGTTGATGACCACGGCACCTTGGGCAAATTACTTAACTTAAGCCTCAATTCCCTCACATGCAAAATCAGATTACCACCCACCTGAGAAAGACTCAGGGAGAATTAAGTGTGCCAGTGTACACAGTGGATTTGACAAAGTAACTACTACATAGCATGTGTTTATAAATTGCTGTACTGTGTTGTTACTGTGTAGAAAGCACAAAAGAGTAAAGAATAAAGTCTCACACACCAGCGGAGATCATGTTCTTGGCTAGCCAAAGTTCCTATTTTGTAGCCCAGAAATATTTCGTCAGTGATTTTCAAACTTTTCTAATATTTCAAAAGATAATTTCAGTATATTGACAGTATCTGTAAAGATGATAAGAAAGACTTATCTCAAACTTTGGGAGGTCACACTACAACTTTTTTTATCCTACAATTATTACTCTCTGTCTACCAGAGCGAGAAAAAGGAAGCCAGGTGTGCCCCTACTAACAGGTAAGATGCAATCTGAAGCACGGAGATTCATACTCACTACCCTCTCACCCACAACGCTCCTTTCAATCCACCTATTTTCATCTATCTCAAACAGAGGGACCCATAGCTACTTTGTCATGAAAAAACAAATTCTGGCAATCCCATCTCCAAACACATCTCTTCATCCTAAAGGTCATGGACAAACAGTGAAAAGTAATTATGATTCCAGGCAAAGGAGGTTTTTGAAACTACAGCACTTGAAAAAACTGTTTAAGAAAACTCTGTTCAGGCAGCGCAGATCATTTAACAACGAAATACTTTCCCTATAACTAGACCATTCTCCAGAACAGATTAACTTTTTTTTTAAAACCAGAGTATCATAACTGAGATAATGTAGCTTAAGTTTCTATAATATGTTTATTCACCACTTGTAGTATCAAGAGAGCCAAGAATGGACAAAACAAAGGAAAAAGATAATAATGATGGAGTTTAATTTTAAGGCATAGAAAAGGTTTATACATGGTGTGGGAATTAGGAGCAAGAGACTAGGTGACTGAGACAATAAAGACATGAATAAGCTTTGGAAGCAAGCAGGAAGGGAAGGAAAAGATTACTACAGCCTTGGTGCAACAGAGAAAAGATCACATTTCAGTTCTAGGCAAAATTTACACCACTTATGCCAGCGGTTTATTAACTAAAAAATAATGTAGTCTGCCAAAAAAGAAAGCCCAAGTGTTATTCTTAGAATTTTTTGCTTAAAAGCAGAGAAATTTATGTTATGCCCAATGAAGGGTTTAAACTGAATGTTAGGATAGAATGTCAAAGGGTCATTTTCAAAAGCTGCACAGGAAGAAAAGTAGGTACAAGGTAAAATCTCCAGTAAAGATACTCTCGAGTCCAAATAAGTCTACTACGAATATTCCCTTAAAATGAAATTGTACATTTTGGCCAACAGTTAACCCCACCCCAGACTTTCATATCTATTTTGTTAATGAAAATAGCAACAACAACAACAACAAAAAATTAGCAATTTCCCCAACAGCAGCAAATCAATACTGCACTGTAGATCAAAAACTGTCCCACCACTGAAAAGCAAGAAGAAACACATTTAAATATTTACCTTGTCAAAGTCAAGTTTTCTCAACAAGAGAAGATGCAAATTCCTCAGTAAACATAGATCCTGGCTAGAATCAGACTGGCTTAATGCAATGGATCACGAGCCACCTGCATCACAATCATCTACAACAGTGAAAAACGCAGGTTGCTAGGATCAATCCCACAATGGTTAAAATGAGTAAGATTCAAAACACTGCATTGTTAACAATTTCTAGATAATTTTTTGCAGGTTAAATTCTATCACTGTTTTTGTACAGAATTTAAAATAGTAATATATTTGCTCCAAGCTGTGTTAACCCATTTCTACAACTATTTAACAGACAAAACTGAATCGAACCACACAACATTCCCAAAGCTAACTATACAGCAGAATTATCTGGGAGGCTTTTAATACATACCAAAGCCTGAGACCCACCAACCAAATCAGATTCTGCACAGATAGGGTGAGAGCATCACTATTTATTAAAAGCTTCCCAGGTGATTCTGATGTGAGGCCATGTTTAAAACTACTGACTCAGATGATGTTATACATTCTAATTAGGGGAAAAGGGTGTGAAGAAAATAAAAATTAAAAAATAACATCTAGAAACTGAGGACACTGATATTTCAGACACATACTTTTCACAATGTAAAATAAATAAAATTGAAAAGCCACATTGCTTATTCAAGAGTTTACACAAAACCAAGAAGCCTTACTTTACGGCTTTTTTAATTACACTTTCCATATAAAATTGCCATATGAATGTTTAAAGGGAGCATGATTTTTCATGCTGAAGAAAAGACTAAAATGTCAGTTTTGAGGTACTTGCTAGTAAAAGTTATTTCCACATGAATCACCAAGTCAGCCACCATGTTATGAAATACGTGTCAATAATACATCACAAATGTCCATGTATTAATGAACAAGAAAAATTGAGAAGACATATACATTTTACCTAAAGTCAAAAAAGGTAAGTTTTGAGACACTCATTACTCTGTGTGTGTGTGTGTGTTTTAAAAAAAAAGTCATAGGCAGCAGTGATGCAGAGAACAAATTCTGGCCCTGAGCCTAGGAAGTTGGTGCTCTCTGCAATCCTCCCACAGCAATGAATTCTGGAGATAAACAATAAGGGAAGTGCAAGTAGTAGTGGAGGCTCAGCAGACATCTTAAAGGCTCAGTCTAAACCTGGTCCCAACAGTGGGCAATGAAATTCTGTGCTCTGCAGCCACTTCTTTCTGTTCCTTCCAGATGTACCCAGCGTGTGCTGCTACACTCTTCTCTTTCCTTCCTTGACCCCACTCAATCACTGGTGTTCTTCACCATGGAACATCAAGAATATTTAGGTTCAGGACCTAAAGTGGGTCCTATATTTGAGACTGTCATTACCGTGACATGCTGACACTGACATTACTGTGACTCCAATCTTAAGTACAAATACAACCGAAATCTCTTATTAGATGTAAAGCAGGTCACAGTAATGACAGTCTCAAAACTTATCTTTGTTCACTTTAGGGGCGGAACAAAGATAAAAGGTATCTGGGCCCTGTGGGACCAATTTCTTCTGTACTATTCACAACTATAGTTACTGCTGCAGTTTACTGGGTGGCAGGCCAAAGAAATGATGTCATTTGAAGCACTCATTCATGTTCAGCATTGATCAAATATTTTAAGTGGAGGTGGTCTCTTTTTTTTTGGTGAATTTCTGTTTCTCATTCTACCTTCATGCTATCATCATATTCCCTTATGTTATTATCAAGAATAAATATGACAAGTAAATTTCAGAATTATGTCTTCAAAGGACATATTTCATAACATGGTGACTGACTTGGTTATTCATGTGGAAACAATTTTTACTAGCAAGTACCTCAAAACTGACATTTTAGTCTTTTCTTCAATAGGTAGATTGGAACAGGTTAAGAGAACTTTCAACCCTTCATCTTTTAACTACAATGCTACACCTGCTGCTCTAAAAGATGAGAAATTTCCTCCAATCTTCAGTAGACATATAATCTAAATCTTTTATTAGATTTCTGTGAAAAACATTTAAAAAAGAAAATAAATTTCTAGTGTAGAGAGATTCTAGCAAAAGAGGGATGAAGAAGTCTAAATTTAAATAAAAATATCCATGGGAAACTGTGTTGCCACTGTCCTTATTTACAACCTACTTTTTAATATTTTCATTTAATTTTTATTTATTTTAATTGTAATATTGGGATTAATATTACCCCCATCAGATATTACCACCATAATGCACCCATCACCAAATGGCCCATTGTCCACCACCACAGTCCACTGTGCTTACCCTGCTCCCAACCTCTCCCTACGCTTCTATTTTTCAGTTGGCTATCAAGGATTAGTTTTTAAGCTATCCTTTATGACTATTAGTTTAGTTACTTTATATTTCACATATTAGTGACACCATCTACTATTTATCTTTCTCCTTCTGACTTACTTCACTGAGCACGCTTCATCCACATTTGTTGCCACAAATGGCATGAGTTTATCTTTTTGATCGCCTAGTAATATTCCACTGTGCATATACACCACATCTTCTTGATCTGCTCATCTGTTCTGGGGCCTTTCAGTTGTTTCCATAATTTAGCAATAGTAAATAGCAGTGCAATAAACATGGGAGTAAAGTTTCCTTTCAAAATAAGTGTTTTTGAATTTTTTGGGTAGTGGCCTAGCAGTGGAATTACTGGATCAATTGGTAGACCCATTTTTAATGTTTTGAGACACCTCTGTACAGCTTTCCCTAAGAGTTGGAACTAGTCTGCATTCACCTCAGCAGTGTAGGAAGGTTCCCTTTTCTCCATATTTGTTTTTGGTTTTTTTGATATGGGGCATTCTCAAAAGTGTGAGATGGTATCTCACGGTGGCCTTGATTTACATTTCTCTAATAAGTGATTGCAAACATTTTCTCAAGTGCCCATTGGCCATTTAAGTGTCTTCTTTGGAGAAGAGTCTGTTTAGTTCTTTTGCCCATTTTTTAATTGGGTATTTTGTTGTTTTCTGTATATCTTTGATATCAGTCCTTTGTCACATGTATGGTATGCAGATATTTTCTCCCATTTAGTTGGTGTCTTTCTGTTATAGTTATGGTTTCATTGTACAAAAGATTTTTACTTTGATGTAGTCCCAGCTATTTATGTTCTCTTTTGTTTCCCTTGCTTTTAGGAACAAATCCCTAAAGGAATCACTAAAGCTGTGGTAATGAAATGTGTTTTGCCTACATTTTCTTTCTTTTTTTTTATAAGATTTATTTATTTATTTATACAAGCACTGGGTACAGTCAGAAGCACAGGAGGGTGAAAAAATTCACCAGAGCCAGAGTGGGGAGCAGAATAGGCAGACTGACGAAGTACACTGCTGAGGGGAGCAGTGGGAGGCAGGAGAGGTCTGTCGCGCCAGTTCCCTCGCCGGTGGCCAGGGATCAAACCGGCGCTGCAGAGGCTGAAGGCAGCATTGCAGCCCAGCACTCAATCACTGTGCCACCAGGGAGGCCCTGCCCACATTTTCTTCTATGTATTTTCTGGATGCAGGTTTTATATCCATGTCTTTGACCCATTTTTAATTGATTTTGATGTATGATGTGACAATCAAGGTCTAGTTTCATTCTTTTGCATGCAGCTGTCAAATTTTTCCAACACCATTTACTAAAGAGGTTATCCTTGTTCCAGTGCTTTGGCTCCTTTGTCACAGATTAATTGTCCATATATATGCAGGTTTATTTAGGGGCTCTTAATTTTATTCCATTGGTCTGTGCATCTGGTGTTCTAGTAGCAGGCCGTTTTAACTATTATGGCTTTATAATATAACTTGAGGTCTGGAAGTGATACCTCCATTCTCTTCTTTGTCAAGACTGCTTTAGTTATTAGGGTATTATGTGATTCAATATGATTTTTAGTAGGATTTTACTCCAGTTCTTTGAAAAACACCATCAAAAAAAATATATCAAAGAAGAATTCACAAGGAAACCAGAAAATATTTTAAGATGAATGAAAATAAAATCAAAAGGCTGGAGTGAAAGCAAAAATTATAGGAAATTCACAGCTGTAAATAAATGCCTGTATTTTAAAAAGTAGAAAAATCTCAAATCAACCTGATCTTCTACCTTAAAAAATTAGTAGAAGACCAAACTAAACCCAAAGCAAGCAGACAAAAACAGCAATGATAGCAAAGAAGAAAGAGAGATCAGAAACTCAAAGTGGAGGAAAACGGACAAAACCAAAAGTTAATCCTTTAAAGACATCAATTTGACAAGACCTTAGCTATTACTGACAATAAACTGTTAAGCTATACTTGTAATTTTAGTCTAGATACCTTTGGCTATGTCCAATTCACACAAAAGTGAAGTTAAGGCTGTAAGCTATTACATAATTTACCTTGGGACAAAGAACCAGGAAATTAAGAAGTAAAAATTTAAGCCATCTGTTTTTTCCACATCTTTACAAATACTTTCACAATGCTGTGCTGCCTGGTCCAGTTTCAGGATTTATGAAACTCTTAATTCTATTTTTTCAGAATATAACTGTATTAATTATTTTGTGAAAGATGGGCTTTTAATTATAATCTCTCTTTGGCTTAAAGTTTGCATTATTGAAAAAGTCTTCATTAATTACTAACTTCACATACTTAAAGTATGTACTGATAGATGGCCTAGAGGAATTAGTATAAATTAACAGATAAAAATTATCTGTAATTAAGGCATCAGTCACAAGTAAATGGATATTTGAAGGAAAATATTGCTTTTACTCTAAATAATTTTCATGCAATCATGTTTCTAGCAATTTAATTAGTAAATCTTTTAAGAAAATGTCTTTGCTAATTAAATTTTACAATACTGGCTAAACTATCAAGCACTCTGGATTGTCAAAGAGCTAATTAATATTAGTTTTACAATGTGCTATCATAAAAATCTACCCACTACCACCACCATACCACCACAAAGTGACTCCAATGACTGCATTAACTGCAAATTGAGAGTTGGAGGTCTACAGAGATAGCCAGGGAATAATAGGTAGCACAGTGAAGAGGCTTTCAGCAAAGTGAGGGGCACAGGAAAAGAATAACAAACCGAATCCCTTACAATCAATCAGTGCTTTTGATAAATTAAGTTACTTAAGGATTTTAATGTTTATCAAGTTGGTTGGAATAAACACCCTGACCAAGATGAAAATGCATACATTGTATAAAAATGAAAAATGATGTAAAATGTATATAAAATAAAAAATTTAAAAAGAATACCCTGAATATTAAGAGATATATGTAACATTAATGTAGTCAGATAGCAAGCAACAAAAATATACTTAAGCTGCTAACTGAAATATGCAGCTAGTTGCTACTAAAGAACTACAACATCAGGTGGCAGTCTTGTAAAAGAAATAATTACTGTAACACAGAGGCTGAGTACATGAACCTAACTGAAGCTTGACACCATAGTGCTTATGGCCATCCAGACTTTTTCATAAGTCATACCTAAAAAGAAACTACTTAATTTTTTTCAAAATCCACACTTCGTATCTTTAAGGAAATGGATCAAATGCTAATGAAGTGAGCAGTTGTTTTTTGCTCTGGATAAAAGTCAGGGAGCTTTCATCTTTGCTGTCCCTAAACTCTAATTTGAGTTTACAATGAG